ACTCTGGGTCCTCTGCTGCAAGCAGTTCTGTGCAGGATTAAATCAGTTTTGAGAACATAAAAACTGATGTCTCTTGTCTTGGGCCTATACCATGTCTCTCTTGATTCCTGTCCCAGGGCTTTTCTGAAGACACAACATGGGAAACTCACAGGAATATACTCAGGCCTTTGCATATGCTGTCTCCTTTGCCTAGAACATTCCTTTGACCTCTTTATTGTGCCTTATAACTGTGCCTACTTAACCTTTTTTTTTTTTAGAGAGAGAGAGAGAGAGAGCGATTTTTGCAATAGTGTATGCTCACCAGAAAGACAGAGAGGACAGAGAGACAGAAAGTGAGAAATCACCTCTCAAGGGGATGGCCACACCTCAATCCCTTCTTCTCCATTCTCCTCTCAGAATCTTGGTCACACAATGCGCCTGGCATGAGTTTTAAGCCACTGGGTCCACAACTTGAACCGCAGTCTACTATGTGGGAGTCCAGCAATGTAACCATTACACTATCTGCTGGTCCTGTGCCTACTCAATCTTACAATCACAATGCAGACTTCGCTTCCTCTGGGCTGTCTTCCTCAGCTTCCATGAATAGGTCAAATCCCCCACTTTTAGGCTCTGGCAGTATATATACTTCACCACTGCTGAAATATTGTAATGTTGTCATGTTTAACTTGTTTCTGTTGTACCCACTAGCCTGTGAGCTAACTTATAAATTATGAGTGTAACCAATTAGATTCTCCAGGTCACCCACTAGCTAAGAAAAACAGGGAAGAAGAGTGGGAAAGTGACTTTCTTTTCCTTTTCTTTTTGTATTTAAAATTTTTGCCAGAGGACATAGGTTTTTGCCAGAGAGAGGGCAAGTGAGAAAACACCCACCATGGGGCATGGTTGTGCTGCAATCCCTTCTCCTCTATTTCTCCCTCCTTTCAGAATTTTGAGCATAGCACACACATGCCCATTGTGTTTTTCAAGCTGCCAGTCCAGGACTTGAATGATGCAGTTGGCCACCTGGGATC